GAGTGTTTTTATAATAGCTATTTTAATGTCCTTGTTTTTTTTTTTTTTTTTTTTAGAGGCAGAGTCTCACTCTGTTGCCCATGATGGAATGCAGTGGTTTGATCTTGGCCTACTACAGCCTCAATTTCCTGGGATCAAGTGATCCTCTCACTTTAGTTTCCTGAGTACAGGTGTGTGCTACTGCGCCTGGTTAATTTTTTACTTTTTGCAAAAATAGGGTCTTGCTATGTTGTCCAGGCTGGTCTCAAACTCCTGGCCTCCAGTAATCCTCCCACCCTGGCTTCCCAAAGTGGTGGCATCAGCCTCCTTGTCTAATTCTATTATCTGTGTCATTTCTGGATCTGCTTCTATTGATTGCCCTTTCTCTTCATTATGGGTAAAATTTTCCTCCTACTTTGTATGCCTGGTAATGTCTGACTGCATGTCAGACATTGTGAAATTTATTTTCACTTAAATCATTTAAAATTTTGGGCTTTGTTCTGGGATCAAACTTGAAAAACGTTTGACCTTTTAAAGTGAGCCCACAGCAGCCTCTATTCTAGTGCTAATTTGGATCTATGACTGAGGCAACATCTTCCAAAGACTCTCCCCCGGTGTATTGTGTATTACCGGATTTCTACTGTGGCTGTTGGGGATGTAGGCTATTTCCAGTCCTGTGTTAGTCTGAGGACTGTTTTGCCTGCTCCTTTATAGTGGTTTTGCACTTCCAACCAAGATGGAGTGAAAGGGACTGGATTTACCCTCCTCTCTTAAGCAACTAAGGAAGTAAACAAAATATATAAACAATAATTTTCAGACGTTGGACATCAGGCAGCAGATAACAGTGATCCCTGAGAGGCGGAAAGCAAAGGAAATGAGCCTTGTGATTTCCCTAGCTTACTGCCTGGAGAGTTTTCAGGCCTCAGTGCAGGAAGCAAGAGCCCAGGCAGAGTCCACTGACCCCAAGATAAAGAGACAGAGCTGGGCAACTTGGGGAGGCAAAGGCAGCTAGAACTCACAGGGCAGAGTACTGACAGGAGAGAGTTACACCGAGAATGAGCCTCAGGACCCTGCAGAAGGGTCTCCTCATTTTATTTTCCTTCCAGAATGTACTTCCCTCTGACATTATTTTAATTATGTGTATATTTATTTATTTATTTATTTATTCATTCATTCTTTTTCTCCCCATATACTGAGCCCTCACATGTCTCACTCCTTCCCTGGAACAATGTCTGGCACACAGTAGGTGCTCAATAAGTACTTAATGAACAAATAAAAGAACATAAATGTCTGTGTGCTTTGCTGACTATTCCCAGTGCTTAGTACAGTACCTGACACATAGTAGAGGCTCAATTAATATTTACTGAAGAAATGAATGAAAGAATGAGAAAAACAAAATGTGACTACCAAAATGGAAGAAGTGTTCTAAATCTCTGCATCTTGGTTATCAGAGAATATAATTTCATTGCTAAAACAGATTCACATCCATGCATAGCCCAAACCAGCAGCCTAAAATTTTGGCAGTCAATTTTCACTTATCATGATCATATTTGACAGGCAGTTCACTGGCCATATCTAGAAATCAAATGAAATAAATTTTGGCCAAATTAAAACTGTGCCTATTTGGAATTAACTGAGAGTCAACAGCAGAAATCTGAGTCTGGAGCTCTACTTCAAGTTGCATTTTCTCCCAGAAGCCTTCAGTCCATAAGATATTATGAGGCCGGGCACGGTGGCTCATGCCTGTAATTCCAGCACTTTTGGAGGCCGAGGTGGGCGGATCACCTGAGGTCAGGAGTTCGAGACCAGCCTGGACAACATGGTGAAACCCCGTCTCTACTAAAAATACAAAAATGAGTCAGGCGTGCTGGCAGGCGCCTGTACTCCCAGCTGAGGACTGCACAGGAAGCTGAGGCGGGAGAATCACTTGAACCTGGGAGGCGGAAGTTGCAGTGAGCTGGGATCATGCCACTGCACTCCAGCCTGGGCAATAGAGCGAGACTCTGTCTCAAAAAAAAAAAAAGATTATGGACTATTTCCCTAAACTCCAACGAGTTCACTCATGTCCACGGATCTATTTCAACAAAACATAAATTGTTTTGAATATAATTAGAACACACTTCCTAAGCACCTTTTGGCAGTTGGCCAGCTGGTTTGTTTTGCCCCATCTTACTATTTATATTTATTCAAAACACTGCACTTATTGTAGGTAAGCATCTCTACTTTTTAAAGACTTCCAGGCAACTCTCAAAATAACAGTGCTGATGGTAACAGTGGTCTATTCATTTTCCAGCCATCCTGGAGAAATGAGAGTTGGAAGATACCTTATACTTCTAGGCTCTTGGAATTAAAATCTAAGAAATATCAGCTCAAGCATTTGACTTGGATTCCTAAGAAACAGAGAACTAACCCACTCACTACGAATCCATCTCTTTTTAAAATCTACACTTGATATAATTTGCATTTTCTGGTCGTAAGTAAATATTTATAACAGCAAAGAGTCCCACTACGTGGAAGACTGTTTTAAGAAGGTACTTTCAAAGGGTTGTATAAGGATTGAACTTGGGAGAGTGTTAGTAAATCAGGCCCAACTCAATGCCCAAGACAACACAGACACCCATGAGCCCAAGAAGAAAGCATCTATAGCGAATCTCTCACCTTTTCTCGTTGGTCAAGGATGTGTGATACGGTTGCCGTCATACAGAGCAGTATCTGCAAAATCTTTGGCAGGTATGCGCTGATCAGATGATTAATGTTTTTCAATACTATCTCAAGGCTGTTTAAGATACCATGCTGACGACCTAAAGGAAGAACTTCAGACAAATCCAAGTCTTCTACTGCTTGAATGACTGCAGAATGGCACTCTCCTAGTGAAACAAGGAGGAGAGGTCATGTAAGGTAACATATTAGTTTGTTACTATTTATAATTGTAGTTTTATTTCCATTTCCCTTAATAATACAGTATTTTCTACTGTCATAATTTATAGATAACAGTGCACTTTTCTTCTATATTATCTCCTTTTGGTTCTTACCAAATATTCAATGAGCCACATAAGACAGGTTTAACTACCCCCATTTTAGAGAAGAAGAGACTAAGGAATAAGAGGGTAACAAATCTGCAACAGAACTAAGTCTCTAAGCCTAATTCTCATCCAACTTATTTACACTATCCCTCAAAACCTGAGTTATGAATAGTTTCTTATTCCATCTGGCAATTTTTTTTTTTTTTTTTTTTTTTTTCAGACAGAGTCTCAGTTTCCCATCCAGGCTGGAGTGCAGTGGCGCGATCTCGGCTCACTGCAACCTCCACCTCCCAGGTCCAAGCCAGTTCTCCTGCCTCAGCCTCCCGAGTAGCCGGGATTACAGGCACCCACCACCACATCCAGCTGGTTTTTGTATTTTTAGTAGAGTTGGAGTTTCACCATGTTGGCCAGGCTGGTCTCGAATTCCTGACCTCAGGTGATCCACCCACCTCAGCCTCCCAAAGTGCTGGGATTATAGGCATGAGTCACCGCACCCAGCCCTCCATCTGGTAACTTTCTATACACTTTTCTTACTCTCCGTTTCACTCAGCTCTGCTGAGTTTGGCAGTTTCACTAAAAGTACCTTTCTGTATTACAAGTTCCTTGAAGGCTGAGAATCAAGTTTTATTTCTCTTACAGCCCCTAGTTAATAAATAAAATCAGAGTCCCTTATAAACAGCTGCTGCCATATTAATTTCAAAACTTAATAAAAAGATACAAATTGTTATTGCTTGACCTTTACTCCAAACCATCTGATGTGAGGTCATGAGCTTATGGATTCATACACCCAAATGGGCCATCCATGAGAGTAGCATCTATACCTATCCTCCTACAATGGGAGTTATACATTGAATGGAAACTTTTTTTTGGCATTCATCAGAGCCAACCTCCTTTATAGGGCAATATTATACTGAATGAAAAACCTGTTAACAGCTGGAACTATTATCATAGAAAAAATACAAAAACAAATGCAACAGAATACCCTATAAATAATTTTCTATGCTGGCCTCAAGCAAAGCAATTTGGGGACTGGAACAGAGATTTCATAACCAGAAAGGTCTGAGTTCGAATCCCAACTCTACCACTTTTCATCTGAGTTACCATGGGTGAAATACCTTTCTAAGCCTAAGTTTCCTCATGTGTAAAATGGGGACAATCAAGTAATGACAGCTCATGTGGCTGGTTGTCTGAAGGATCAACTGAGTTATAAGTAAATGGGTCTGTCATAACGTCTGGCATAAAGTAAGTACTCAAAATGAGGTCAGTCATTACTGTTATTAATAATTACTGACATTCCGTACCAAAGAACATACCGCAGAGCACTCTAGCTCAATGTATACACGATTACATCCATTTCATCTCAACTACGAGGTTGAGGGCAGAAATTGCACTTTTCTATTTTTAACTTAACAGAGTGTCCAGGGCACAGGAGGTATTCAATAAATCATTACTGAATAGATGAATGACTCAGGGAATGAATAAATGCCAAACAATTAACACCAATTTGCAGTATGCTTTGAATTTCTTAGAAGAAACCTATTCTTTGTACTATAGGAGTAAGTATTAACCATTTTTCAAACGGCCTAAATATGCAATAAAAATACACATTTTCTCATCAGGGGCTCTAACACAAGAGTGCCGATAATCCACAGGGCCAATGGTCAGTTTCATGCAAGTCAATCGAAGTTTAAAATGAACTGCACTTCAGCAGAAAGATTGCCATCAAGGTTGAGAGGAACAACCCTGTTAGAAAGATGCCCAGGAGCGTGGGGAATGTAGCCTGAGATGTGGGAAGTCCACCGCAGACAACAGGTATCAGAGTGAGAGGTAGCTGATAGTTACCATTCTTGAAGTGCCTCACAGGTTCAAACAGCAGGTCTAAGAATATCTGGATCTCCTCAGGTTGGGTCCCGGCCAGGAACCGCAGGACAATGGCCATGCGGGTGCCTGAAGCAGATTTCCCCTGAGTTTTACTCCCAGTCTTATTTTTCATTCGCCCATACAAAATTCTGAAAAGATAAAAGCACATTATTTATTTGCACATTCAGTTCTAAAATATGAGTTGTTTTGTTTGCCTAAAAGGCTAGAAGAGCAACTCAATTGATTTAAATGGATATACTATGAAACACAGAAACATGAAAACAGAAATCAGATACTTAACATAGACAATGAAAAAAGTCAACAACAAAATAAGGCTAAGAGAGCTACATGCAGTGATGGGTGCCTGCAGTCCCAGCTACCTGAGGGGTTGAGCCAGAGTATCACTTGAGCTCAGGAATTTAAAGCCAGCCTGGGCAACTTAGTAAGACCATGTCTCTATAAAAAAATTCAAAACTTAAAACAAAACGAAACAAAACAAAACAAAAAACAAGGCTAAGGGAAGCAGGAAGGACAAAGGCCAGAAGGTGGTTTGTTATGGGAGAAAAAATAGGCAAATCAAAGGTAAGTCTAATCATGAAAAAATGAAAATGAGAATATATAGATTAAAAGGGAATAAAATAAGAGAAGACAATTGTAAGTTATTAAGGAAGCTGGAAACAATTCAATGAAAAAGCTACTTTTCAGGAAAAAAACCACAAAAATAAACAAAAGGAATTTAAGAAAAAAAACCCACAGAGACCAATACTTATTGGAAAACTTGAAGCTAATACAGTTTACAGGTGGGCTTTTTAAACTTTCAAGGAAGAAAATAATTTCTATGCTATGAAGTTTCATGGCAGACAGAAAGTGGGAAACAGTCTTTTCTCATTTATGAATGTGGCATAATTGTGATATTGAGAAGGGTTAATGAACAAAAATAAAACTACATGCCAATCTTGCTTACAAACATAAAATACATCATTTGTAACTATAGTATCCAGTGCTGCACTAAAACCAAATAAGGATTGCCCCAGGAAATGCAAGAAAGAGTCATTAGTAAAATCTACTAGATCAATACAGATGAATGGTTCCCGGAAAAAGTTAATATAATCACTTTAATACATGTTCAGTAGGCACTCTAATAATATTTAACATCCACTACTGATAAAATTCCAAAGAACAATAAAAGCTACTTTCTTAACACGATAAAAAACTTACTGCCTTAATACTCAAAAATCAAAAATAGTTTTCAAACTTTTTGATATTAGGATCTCTTTACACTATTAAAAATTAATGAGGTCTCCAAAGAGCTTTGTGTATGTAAATTTTACCTCTTTGATAGTTATTGTATTAGAATTTAAAACTGAGGAATTAAAAGTGTACATTGGTTTATTAATTCATTTAAAAATATTCACAATAAACTTATTACATGTTAACATCAATAACATTGTAATAAAAATAATTATATTTTCCAAATGTCCACCCTACTCCTGCAAACTAGTGAGACTAGTGGCATTGTTTTATTTATTCTTTCATCTGACTTAACAGAAGATAACTGGATTCTCATATGTGCTTCTACATTCAATCTATTATAATACATTGGGGTTGAAAAAAATTCAGCCTCATACATAGATAGGTAGTTGAAGAAGGGAGAAATATTTTTTAAACTTTCAGATAATTGTAGATATCCCATTTTGATACTACATCAAAGCTCAACAAGTTGAAAGATTAGCTGCCATGTGGAATCTGAAACCCCATCAACAAACTTGATGAACTCTGTTACACTAAAATCCATGTATCTTGCACTTCGAATGAATCTTTTACCCATACACCATTCTATTACATGCATCAGTTACTTGGAAAATATTGGTTTACTAAGTTATGCAGAAATGTCAAATGTTGACACATTTCATTGCAAACCAAAAAAAGAAATTTGTTTATTAACAGTTGTTAATATCACTAATCATCTCATCAGAAAAGTCTTTAAGCATTGGGAAGATGTCAGGTTCACAGTACCAAATAAAAGTTTTCTCCAATCCTAATTTCCACTTGAATGCTAGAATTTAGTTATTGGAAATAAACGCTGTCAGTTGTTTTCCTTGAAGTGGCAGGCTCACTGCGTTCATGTTCAAGAAAATGCCTGTGAAAAGAATCCTAGTGTATACGTCTTACAAATAAGAAAAGGAGCTAGTTCAGCTTGTACATCAAATACTCACACAGGTGCCATTCACTGAGACAGCCCATGCACAGCAAAAGTATTTTATGCATTCTTCCCACTTTATCATACATGTACTCAGGGTCAAGATTCATCAACTGTGTTTGTTTGTTTGTTTATTAAATAACTCCAAATATGTGGCAATGAAGAATGACTAGTAGAATTTGGTGCCACTGTCTTGATTCATGTGCTAGGGTACTAGGAGTCTTACCCACCATTGTTTTTGCCTTGTCAGTACATATGTCAACACAGTGAAAAAAGATAAGGTCTTAGTAGTAGCAGTATAAAAAAGCTTTGGCCAGTCACAGAGGCTCAAAGCACTTGAAGAAGGTATCACTGATAATGACACATTTGAGATGAGACCAAATGAGTAAGAGGTGTCAGCTGTCATGTCTTCCATGCAGGCGGATGAGCAAGCGCTAAGAATTTAAAGTGGGTTCTGAGAGAGGTGGTAAACAGGAAGAAATATGGTTATAGATATCATTTGAAGCTACCATATCAAGCCCTGTAGGGAGTAGTCAGGACTTTCTATTACATTCTGAGTAAAATGAGATGTCAAAAGGTTTGTAAACAGGGGACTAACATAATCTGTGACTGTTATTATCATTTGTGATTTTTTGGTTAGAGAGAATACAAGAAAACGCAACGAAAGCTACTAAAACTAATGAAAGTTTTGTCATGTGGATGGCTAAATAACACAAAAATCAATAGCTTTTATATATAATTAGTTATGTAGCAAAAATAAACTAGAAAATGTAAGAGGGAAAATTCCCTCTACAGCAACAAAACATCGTTATAAAATGAAAAGACTTTATTGAAAGACTACAAAAAAGGAATGATTTGAATAAATGAAGACAAACACTAATGCAACTTCTCCTCAAATCAAAAGGGGAAATTAGGAAAACCAAAGCAAATGCTCATCTAGATTCTAGAAAAAAACAAAATATTTTGGAAACAAAGGACTAATGAGATGACTTCCTCTGATATATACAAGAATGCATTTAAGTCCTTTATGATTATTATTATAAACAAACCAGTGCAGAATTGGAACAAGGCAGATCAATGTAAAGCTATCAAAAGCCGAATGAAAGAGTCAATTATACATGGATATTTAGTGCATATTAAAAGTGGCACTCTGGGCCGGGCGCGGTGGCTCACGCCTGTAATCCCAGCACTTTGGGAGGCCAAGGCGGGCGGATCACGAGGTCAGGAGATCAAGACCATCCTGGCTAACACGGTGAAACCCTGTCTCTACTAAAAATACAAAAAATTAGCCAGGCGTGGTGGCCGGCGCCTGTAGTCCCAGCTACTCGAGAGGCTGAGGCAGGAGAATGGCGTGAACCCAGAGGCGGAGTTTGCAGTGAGCAGAGATCGCGCCACAGTACTCCAGCCTGGGCGACAGAGCGAGACTCCGTCTCAAAAAAAAAAAAAAAAAAAAAAGGTGGCACTCTGGCTGGACATGATGGCTCATGCGTGTAATCACAGCACTTTGGGAAGCCAAGGCAGGTGGACAGCCTGAGCTCAGAAGTTTGAGACCAGCCGGGGCAACATAGTGAAACAAAATTAGCTGGGCATTGTGGCATGTGCCTGTAGTCCCAGCTACTTGGGGAGCTGAGGCAGGAGGATCGCTGGAGCCCAGGAGATCCAGGCTGCAGTGAGCTGTGTTTGCACCACTGCATTCCAGCCTGGGTGACAAAGACAGACCCTGTCTCTGAAATAAATAAATATGGCTCTCAAATCAGCAGAGAAAGGTTGGACTTTTTTAAAAAAATGTTATTTATTTATTTATTTATTTTGAGACAGAGTCTTGCTCCGTCACCCAGGTTGGAGTGCAGTGGCGCAATCTCGGCTCACTGCAACCTCTGCCTCCCGGGTTCAAGTGATTCTCCTGCCTCAGCCTCCCAAATAGCTGGGATTACAGGCACGTGCCACCACACCCAGCTAATTTTGGTATTTTTAGTAAAGACGGGGTTTCACCATGTTGGTGTTATTTCATTTCATACATCAAAATAAATTCCAGATGAATAAAATAATCAAATTAAAACAAACAGAATGAGAAGAAAACAGAGAGGAATATCATTTACCTGCTTTTAGAAAATACAAGTTGTCAGACATTTAAAAAAAAAAAAAATTCATGAGAAAATAAACACAAATGACCCATAATCTTTTAAAACAATTCACCTTCACTAGTAAATCTAAAATATGTGAAGTCATACAACATGATATCCTTTATCACCAACAAATTAGCAAGAATTAAAACAATCAAAAAATAACAACAAACAACAGCCTAGTGTTGGAATGGTATGAAACAGGCATTCTACTGCCGGTAGGAATATAAAGTGGTTCAAACTTGTGGTTGAAAAGAAGTAGTTCTGAACAACAATTTGGTAATAGACACCAAAAAGTTTAAAAATCTTCATCAATTTTCCTATCAAGAATCTATTCTAATCCATCAATCAAATAAGATTTATAGGTATTCAATGTAAGATTTTCTATTTTGAAAAAAACAAAATAAACAACAAAAACTACAGACAGGCAAAATGCTCGACACAAGTAAATGATGGCTTGTCTATATGATGAAGAATCACATTTTGAAACATTTCATGGTCTAAGAGAATTCTTGTAATATATTAAGTGAAAAAAGGTTATAAAACATTTTATAAAATATAAGATGATTTCTGCTATTTTTGTTTCTGTAATCCACCAATAATTGTAATTTTGTATATTCACTGACTCAAATATTTTTATGTCTATTATAGTAAAGTTCTTAAAGCTCGCTATAAATGGAATCTTGATGCTGGCTACAAATGGAACTAAAGAGAGCCATTAGACAAGTACTAGCAGAGTCTCCAGAGCACAACTGAACCAGCTCCTATTAAGGAAACAGAAGCCCAGTGGATCTAAAAAACTTTCCCTATCTGATAGAACTACACAGTACAGGGTTGGAACAAAAGCAAACCTCTGTTAAATCCCAATCCCATGATCTTTCCAATTCCTATCATTCCAGAGCTGGTGAGATGAAAGATTTAAGCTTCATTTCTCTTTATACCCAGCATATATAAACTTTGTATTATTTATGGATCTTTGTGCTCTACCATTTATAATTAACAGAATAATAACATCATTAAATATCACATGATATTTGGAAAATGGAGTGAATTATTTCTACTGTATCTCAACAGTAAAATTTAGGAAAATATTAAATTCAATTTTAATATTATTATTACAATACTATGGTAAGAGCTTTCTTTATATTAGGGGCCATGTGTGGTGGCTCACGAATGTAATCCCAGCACTTTGGGAGGCAGAGGCGGGTGGATCACCTGAGATCAGGAGTTTGAAACCAGCCTGGCCAACATGGTGAAACTCTTTCTCTACTAAAAATACAAAAATTAGCCAGGCATGGTGGAGCACGCTTGTGATCCCAGCTACTCAGGAGGGTGAGGCACAAGAATAGCTTGAACCTGAGAGGGTGGAGGTTGCAGTGAGCTGAGATCACACCACTGCACTCCAGGCTGGGTGACAGAGTGAGACTCCCTCTAAAATAAATAAATAAATAAATAAATAAATAAAGATCTTTCTTTATGTTAGGAACAAAAATTAGTCTCTATAACAATTTGACTTCTCCCAAAAGTACATTTCAAAAAAAAAGCAGCTGGCCGTGATGGCTCACACTTGTAATCCTAGCACATTGGGAGGCCAAGGTGGGAGCATCACTTGAGCCTGAGAGGTCAAGGCTGCAATGAGCTGTGATCATGCCACTACACTCCAGCCTGGGTGACAGAGCAAGACCCCATCTCCAAAGAAAATGCAATCAAAGGAAAATATAAAATGAAATATTCTATTACAATTGTTGAAAGAACCATAACACTACACTCACAATTGTGTTTGTTATTAACTTTTTAAAAATCAGTGTTTAAACAGCATAAATACCTCATCAGAATAGGAAACAGATCTGCTCGGTGGGCTGTTTTCACTACGGTATTATCTTCTGAAATGCTAAAATGCACTATCTCTTCCTTAAAGCTTCTGTCTTCGAGCAACCTTTGTAAGTTTTCCCTTTAAAAACAGAGAATAGCACACATCACCATTTTATCAACAGTGCTTTTGAATAATGAAAGAGTGAAATATGTACACAGAGTAATAACTAAAATAAGGTATATAGTACATATTATGGTTGATATCCATAAAGGAAAATCCTAAAAAAAAAACCTCCTAAAATGACAGATTTTCACATTTCAAAAGGTATAATGGATTAGAGAAGATTAGATTCTGTCCATAACTCAGCTGTTCAAAAAAGCATGATACAAAAAGCTTTCTTCAGTTCTTAGAGTGACTTTGATTCTCTAAGTAACCACCAAGATTTTATGGCATTATATTAATAAGAAGAGGAAAATGACATAATATTTACAACACATTTTAAAAATTAACATTCTCTATTTTAGTACCTATGGAGAACAACCCAGCAAATATACTACTCGTTTTCATTTCTTGCTTGGAAATATGATGACCTCAGAAAAAAGGGAAATTTCCTAGGCCTTTAAGAAATTATTCTAGAAGAAGCTCTTATGCAGAAATATAAAAATCAGACAAAGAGATAGCAGTTCTTTCAGCTTCAAGCAACTTACCTGTAAGGGAGGATATGAGGATGTTTATATGTCATTATGCAATCCAAGGTTATTTTTTGCACCATTTGATCTTGGTGTAACAACAACTAAGAACAATATTTTACAGAATTAATGAAGTCATACATACATATACCATAGGACAGCAATTTACTTGTGGTTATTTGCTAAATGAGATCTGCTAAATTCTAAAGTTTTAGACAAGACCCAAACCTGATTGCTAACAACAGCTTCACATTTTCCTGGAAGTAAAAAAAGATGAACAGAATATGTGCAAAATAAAAAATGGAAACAAAACTCTCTGACACCTGCATCCCACAGTCATACCCTGGGGTCTACCAGTTTTTGGGTGAGGCCAATCCTCTCTCTCTCTCTTTTTTTTTCTTTTCCAAGACTCTGTTGCCCAGGCTGGAGTGCAGTGATGCGATCTCAACTCACTGCAACCTCCACCTCCTGGGTTCAAGCAATTCTCTTGCCTCAGCCTCTTGAGAAGCTGGAACCACAGGCGCCCATCACCCCACCTGGCTTATCTTTGGTGTTTTTGGTACAGATGCGGTTTCACCATGTTGCCCAGGCTGATCTCGAACTCCTGGGCTCAGGTGATCTGCCCGCCTTGGCCTCCCAAGTGCTGGGATTACAGACATGAGCATCTGTGTCCAGGCTGGTGAGGCCAATTCTCTATGTGAATCTGGATTTAAGCCAACCGGGCTGGTCATGTACTAAGGAAAATCTCTTATCCTATGAAGGTAATGATAGTCAATAAGATGCCAAGAAAAACATCCAAATGAAAAAAGAATCTGTTTCCCCAGATGGCTTAGAATGACATCCAATGCTTACTTCATTTCTGACATTAATTAATTAATTAATTAATTTTTTTGGGAGATGAAGTCTCGCTCTGTTGCCCAGGCTGGAGTGCAGTGGCGTGGTCTCGGCTCACTGCAAGCTCCGCCTCCCAGGTTCATGCCATTCTCCTGCCTCAGCCTCCCAAGTTGCTGGGACTACAGGTGCCCGCCAACACGCCTGGCTAATTTTTTGTATGTTTAGTAGAGACGGGGTTTCATCATGTCAGCCAGGATGGTCTCCATCTCCTGACCTCCCAAAGTGCTGCGATTATAGGCATGAGCCACAGTGCCCGGCCCAACATTAATTTTTTTCTGCAAGCTTATCTGAAATTCAGGGCCACATAATTATGACTGCAATGGACTATAATAGATCCTGAAATCCCAGTCCTTTATGAAGTCTCACTAAACTAGAAGGGAAAAGTAGTCACTTGTTTTTTTGTATAAACCCTACTCCCTTCTAAGAGCTAATTTCCATGATATAATTCATGGTTCGCTATTCTCACTGTTAACACAGCCAGTCAATGTTTAGTCACCCAAAATGCTTTTAAAATCAGCTAAGTAAGTGCTAAAATTGTTTCTCAAGATAAGAGAAAATATGTCTATTAATTTTAAAAAAAAGCCTTTAATACTTAAAATGTAGACATAGGCCCTATTCAATAATTATTGAAAATCTAAGCTACTCTGACAAAGAAAATGATAGAGAAAAGTTCACAAAGAATTATAGTGCCAAGAGTTTATTTTACTGACCTGAAGATATAACTCATATAATTTGGATTCCAGATATAAGGCCCGTGGATTTGAAAATTTAGAGAAAACTTGCAAATGAGCAATTAATTGCCTAAACAAAAACAAAACAGAGTGTTACAGATTTAAAGAATTGACATCATTTTCTTAAACTGACATTATCTACAATTTTATTCTGAATAGAACTTCAAACACTCTGCCTATAGTTTCACTATTATACAAACAAGACTTAGTTATTTACATTTAGGAAATTATTCTCTAGAAATCTCATATTTCGGGCAGTCCTGTCCCTAAAATTCAGGTTCTCCACACCAAAAAAATCATTCAGTGTATGCTCAGAATGGTTTAAATTGAACAAAAATTAGAAAGTAACCAAAAGAGTAAAATATTCCAAAATTGAACTCAGATGATTTTTGGAATTATTCCTCGTCTAGGTTCTATGCGGCAGACAAAAAGTAGTAGAATATATTCTCCTTCACTTTCACATAATGTAAATACAGATGTCAGGCAACAGAGGTCCAGGTTTAGGCAACCAATGGCTCTTGCTCACCAGAAGGAAGAAGAAATATATCTGAGTATTTTCAGACTGTGGTTGACCATGGGTAACTGAAATCGTGGGAAGTGAAACCATGGATAAGGGGAGTGTATTGTATAGTGACATGAAGGCTGGCAGTAATCTTTCCTGCCCCTGTGCTTCATACGCTATTTCTGTTAGTGGACAAGACCTTCTTTGTCCTAGCTGTCTGGCAAACTTTCATCTTTCAGCATTAGAGGGCCTTCCCTGGGTCTTTCTTTTTTTCAAGATGGAGTCTCGATCTGTGGCCCAGGCTGGAGTGCAGTGGCACAACCTCAGCTCACGGCAACCTCTGCCTCCTGGGTTCAAGTGATTCTCCTGCCTCAGCCTCCCGAGTAGCTGGGATTACAGGCGTGCAAAACCACGCCTGGCTAATTTTTATATTTTTAGTAGAGAAAGGGTTTTACCATGTTGGCCAGGCTGTTCTCAAACTCCTAACCTCAAGTGATCTACCCACCTTGGCCTCCCAAAGTACTGGCATTACAAGCATGAGCCAATACGCCTGGAATTCCTTACTGCGCTCCAATACCTTCTTTAAAAATATTTCTCCTATAAAAATATATTTCACCCAGGCAGGATTGACTTACTCTTGCATTGTAGTGGCTCTGTACAATTCATCCCTGCACGCCAGCACTTAGCAAAGGGTACTCAATACAGTTGTTGAATGCATGAACTAATAAATGGCTCGAGGGAAATACGCAACAAATGGGCATATCAGATTGAGATCTAAAGTGTTAAAATAACATTTGCGCCAATCCAGGAGACCTGAGACAGTCAATTCAATCATCAACTAAGCTGAAGTAACTTCTAAAAGCATGATCACTTCTTCTTCTAGGTTTCTAACAATTTAGGTAAAAGAACAACTAAGAGAATAAGAAAGACAGTATAACAACAGCATGAGAAAAAAGTAATCAGTACGAGACAAGTTAAAAGGCAGAGAAAAGTGCTAACAGGATGGTGGGAAGGTAGGTGGAAGGAAAAAAAAAATGTGCTAACACGATTATTTATAAGAAAAAGGATGTTCCATTACATGGTCCCCTAGGATGCAAACACAATACCCTCATGCTGGGAAAGTAAACGACAAAGGTCAAAAGAATATCCAAACACTCCAGGTCCCAAAGTTCTCATCTATAAAAAGGAGCTACAATTAGATGACTCTCAAAAGTCCCCCAAACTAACATTATGTGGTTAACCAAGAAAAAACTAATAATAAGTAACCAACCAAAAAACTTGGAAGACTGACAGTTTTAGGCTGTTAAAGAAAATCCCAGGAAGATGTAGTGCTTATGTAAATAATTATCTGAGTAGTTGATTTTGTATAAAGCCATAGAGACCTCTTCCTGTTCCTCCTAGAACTGTGGATCTGTGATCTTTCAGCAATGGTGAACTTACTTTGCTGCGGCTCTTCTTGTCTTTTTCTTCTGTGAGGATTCATCCTGGGGCACTGCCTCTTCCTCCAACTCTTCATCATCTCCTACGGCAGGTTCCTCTTCGATTTCCTCTGCCACCATCCCTTTGCCTTTTCTCCGCAGATCCTGAGTCGGAGCAACTTGCAGATCTGCTGGGTAATACTCATTGCTACCGTGGAAAGAAAGTCACAGGAGACTGATAAAGAATGCACACCAATCTGAAAGGTCCTGATTCTGCTCATGAGAGATGTCCACAACTCACAGATTCACACACTGAAGAGACATCAGTGGCACCTTAGTCAAGCTTCCACAATATTACTCTTTTTTTTTAATTTGGCCCTTCTTTAGTATGCTATTTGACAAGCCAATCACTAACTGTAGAAGATAGCCCATTCCACTGTTATACTATTGAAAATATTTGAAATGTCTATTTTGGACTAAGTGGAAATCAGCCTCCCTGTCTCTGGAACCATCACTGGGGGATGAGGGGTTAGGGATGTATGATATTAAATGATTAACGTATAGCATTAGGACTGTGCTGGTCACTTTCCATCAGATACATTCTACTTTGCCAGAGTTCTCTTGGAAGTATCATAGCACCACAAAACTTAGTCCTCCAGGTATGGACTGATAAGACAGATGGAACTACCATCTCCAGAAATTTTTTGAGCAGCCACAACATGACAAAGATTGAAACTGAACGTCCATGAAATGAAAATCAATGAGTCTTTATGTTTTATCTCTTCTTAGCTTGTGCAGCTAAGCTTAATACAGTATTCACTTTGTTCTTATTAAATTTCATCCTTTATTTTTAGTCCAATGTTGCAATTAATGAATATTATCTTGAAGTCTGTCATTTAATGTATTAGTTTGTGTCACTTTCATTCACTCATCCAAACAATTAACCTTTTGTTGTCTATTGAATGCAGGGCACTGGGCTAAAGATGCTAGGAAACTGATTGGATGGGCTTTCAAGTCCTCACTCAAAAACACACTGATAAAATAGGATAGTGCCCTACCAACCCTCCTAAAAGAAACTCTAGCTTAGCCCAAGTTAACCTCCAGATCAATAACATTAAACTACAATCTGAGGGCTGGGACACTATGGTACTGGGTATTTTCATCTAGCAGAATCTAGCACTTAATAAATCAAAAACTGGATGAATGAAAAAAGTAAAGTTTCTGCAAGTTACAAACTACGCCATCATCCACTTAATAATATACCTATTATACGTGCAACATTTAATCAACCATATATTACATTCTGTAACCTTTATCTCCATGAACAGCATGTTCACTCTTTCATCTATTAAATAAAACAATTCACATAAAGCATCTATCAGAGGGCCCAGCACACAGTAAGTACTCACTAAATATAACCTTTTATTAGCATGCTGTTGCCATTGTTAGTCATTTATTCTTGTTCCTGGTTTGGTTCATCTCAGAGAATGTTTACAAGGGATTCATAAATTAGTTGAAACATATTTAGAAATATAAATTGCTAGCCAAAAAATAAAAAGCCTATAATATACTTCAAAGTCATAATTCAAGGTGACATTTGGGTTTTTCATTAGTTCAGATCATCTATAAATGTATTATTTACAGGTAATCCATGCCAACCAGTATTAATTTAAACATTTCTTAGAATTGTGTATCTTTAGTCTCTAAATATTTCTAAACTCAGAGACCCACTCCCTGTTACAGGCTCCTGTTTCTACCTCTACCCCACAGCATCTCGTACCGTTAGAGTAAGATCTTATCCCTAAGTTATGGGGTAAACTAACTCTTTAGGGAAAAACTTGGAAAATTAAGACGGTATGAAGTTTATATGCTACTAATACCACAAATGCCAGCTGGCATATGTACAGCCCTTGTAATTCAAAAAACTGATAAACGTTATTTTATATAACCCTCAAAACAAAGCAAAAAAAGCTAAACATCATTCTTATTCTATAAATTTATGCCCAAAGAATTATTTGAAAAAGAGAAAATCATTGCTCTTCTGCCACTATATCTACTGACCTGCTACATCTTTGCTTGTGCCTTGCCAGAATGAATTATTCATGCAAACCTTTGAATTTATGCACTGTATCCATCTCCTCTTACCTATTTGAAGACATGATTCTAGCCTTTTATTTTTGTTTTAGATGGAATCTCACTCTGTCACCCAAGCTGGAATGCAGTGGCACGATCTCAGCTCACTGCAACCTTCGCCTCCTGGGTTCAAGCGATTCTTCTGCCTCAGCCTCCCAAGTAGCTGGGACTACAGATGCAGGCCACCAGGCCTGGCTAATTTTTGTATTTTTGGTAGAGACAGGGTTTCATCATATTGGCCAGGCTGGTCTTGAACTCCTGACCTTGTGATCTGCCCACCTCGACCTCCCAAAGTGCTGGGATTACAGGTGTGAGCCACCGCGCCTGG